CATTACTCTTTTCACTGTACTTTTGATAAATGCAGCATTGGTGAACATAAAAGACTTTTTTCAAAAACAATTCATTAAATTCTACCGACCCCAAACTTTTGATTGCCACTGTTTTTGCATTACATGACAAAATATAAAACCAAGAGTCATCTGAAAACTGTTCAAAAACTTTGCTCAAGATTAACGTAACTTCTGTAAGTTTGACAACCACAAGGGCTACGTGTTGTTTTATGATTTAAAACCTAAACTTCTTTTTGTGACATTTTTGCTTGAATAATACATGTAGTTTATACAAAATTCTTTCAAATAAATCCCACTTCGTTTTATATTCGTGTAATGCACTGACATTCATTTTAATTGTGGCTTCGCTGTTCTTCTTGTACTGTTCAAAGGCGTGAGACATTGCCTATCGACTTGGTTCAGAACGATAACTCGAAAAACGATACTCAGGATTTTCTCCGTCGTCTTTTTTTTTCACCGTTTGTTTACGCTCGTATTTTGTCATTGTTGGTGTTTCTATCTTCTGGCTTCAGACCAGTCGTACAGGTACTGATTCTCCCTTTTCTCTGCTGGTAAAGCAGAATAAGTTTGTTACACTGTCTAATTTTTACTCTTTGCAACAACACTATGCAAATACAGAGGGAGCGGCCAATAAACAGGAGTATTCTCTCTGACGTGACACCAAGCGCGGGTCACATCATTTAATCATGGCGAAATACTGTCCCTCCTGTATATAATAATTAAAACACCTTTTATAGAAGACTATCATGAGTACTGTTTTCATCTCATGTGATTGTAGACCATTTCTAAATGTTTTACACTTTTTAAATTAGAACAAACTACTGAATGCACCTTTAAAGGGATAGTTCATTCAAAAATGAAAATTTGATGTTTATCTGCTTACCCCCAGGGCATCCAAGATGTAGGTGACTTTGTTTCTTCAGTAGAACACATATGATGATTTTTAACTTTAACCGTTGCAGTCTATCAGTCGTATAATGCATGGCAATGGTAACAAAATCTATCTCACGCACCGGATGCCTGCGCGCGCCCAAAGACAGTTGGACATAGTGGTGTATTAGAGGTAAAAAATTATATAAATACTGTTCGGTTTCTCGCACAAACCGATCGTTTCGTGTCTTAGGACATCAATGTGTCGTCACGAGCCGCAGGGTTTAATTTGGATTTGTCTGTGCATGTTTTTTTTACTCTCATAGATTTTGTTACCATTGCCATGCATTATACGACTGATAGACTGCAACGGCTGGAGTTAAAAATCATCAAATGTGTTCTACTGAAGAAACAAAGTCACCTACATCTTGGATGCCCTGGGGGTAAGCAGATAAACATCAAATTTTCATTTTTGGATGAACTATCCCTTTAAGTGTCCAAATTTGGCGCCACTGGAAAAACATCCGAAAACATCATTCAGAAAGTTGGTGTGTTATATACACACACACACACACACTTTTTTATGGAAAAAGTTATCTGGGGCTTGGGTGTTGCTAGCTGTATTTGACTGTTTTCAGCTGATAGTGCCAGCAGCATTCATCAGTTTGACCATCAAATGATCAATAGCAGCATCCTTACTCCCAGCAACTGCCATCAATCGAGGTATCAGAATCGAAACACCCACAGTGACCCGGACAATCGATGTGTCGTAAGGACAAACATGGGCCTAAGGAATCGGTCTTATCCTGTTCTGGCATAATAGAGACCGGGGTTAGTTGTCACTAATTTTACAACACAGAATATACAATTTATTAAATGCAATTAATTCATTACTGTTGGCCCTAACAATGTTTTGATATTTGTATGTATTGTTGCATGCATTTCAGATCAAATATTTCACTATTTAGTTGACTTATGTCTGAATTTCAGAGTGAAACTTTATTGTATTCCCTAGTTATTCAATAAATGTGACCCTGGAGCCATGCAGTCATAAGTCACATGAGTATATTTGTAGCAATAGCCAACAATACATTTTTCTTTTATGCCAAAAATCATTAGGATATTAAGTAAATATCATGTTCCAAGAAGATATCTTGTAAATGTCCTACCGTATATATCAAAACTTAATTTTTGATTAGTAATATGCATTGCTAAGGACTTAATTTGGACAACTTTTGATTTTTTTTTTTTTTTTTTTTTTTGCACCCTCAGATTCCAGATTTTCAAATAGTTGTATCCCGGCCAAATGGGGTCCTATCCTAACAAACCATACCAAGCCTATTTATCCAGCTTTCAGATGATGTATAAATCTCAGTTTAAAAAAAAAATTGAGACTTATAACTGGTTTTGTAGCCCAGGGTCACACATATTACAAAATTATGATGATATTGGAATTGAAACTTGAATGATGAAATCACAATATTCAAATTTAAGACTGAAAATAGGTGTTTCAATCGATAGACAAAATGAAGCATTTGAGTACGGATTTTTTTTTTTACTCAGAGCCTTTGAACCTTAAAATTGTTCTGTCTTGAAACACTAAACTACATTTTCTGTAGTACGGATCAAGTAAGAATTAGGATGCTGGTTACAGATGGATTTCGGATGCTGGTGTATATTGATATTGATAAGAGCTGCTCCACTTGTGGCGCTCCACTTGTGTCGTTTGGAGTCGGACGCATCTGAATTCAAGACTCGGATGAGCAGCAATACGTGCCTCGAATGATCATAAGACGAACCGGACATACAGACTTACTTCAGACTCGGAAACTTTCCGGAAACTAGCAGGCCAGACTTCTGATCTACCGAGACAAACGATTCATGAAACAAACAATGACTCTCTGTATAGCCTATAAATAAGCACCTAAATGGGAATCACACGAGGTCGTTTAGATGAAGTCTTTAGTAGGCATATTTGTTAATTTCACGTGTTCATATCATTCATTCTTCAAAAAAAAACTTAAAAATGAGGTGGAACATTCAATTATGAACATGTATCTCTAATGAAAATAATTCATCAACGTTGACAGGCGTGAGTCAGAGCAATGATTCATAACATATGGAGAGAATGTCAAAGGTCCAGTACTGAAAGTTCAACAAGCGAGACACCTAGTGGTCTGTTTTTGTCATTGCATGTGAAACTCCAATACGCACACGCGCATACACTTACAACTTAGCAACAACGGCTCAAACAGTGTTGGGGGTAATATATTACAAGTAACGCAAGTTACGTAATCAGATTACTTTTTTCAAGTAACTAGTAAAGTAACGCATTACTGTTTAATTTACAAGAGAATATCTGAGTTACTTTTTCAGATAAGTAACGCAAGTTACTTTTTTTTTTCTTCCAATTTATTGATTGACAGCTCTCCTGTCCCCATGTTGAGAGAAATCAGATGTTACTGTAGTTCAAAATAAATATGAATATGCATTAATTCATCTCACTCACACAAAAAAAAAACACAGATTCAGTATTCCTCAAAATGAATAAAAATAATGCAACTCAGAATATGACACAAACCTGCAATAATTAAATGTTAAACAACACAAATATCCTTTATGTATTTAATCCCATTCTATTAACCAATTTGCTTCTGACTAAAAGTAACTTTCCCCATCACTGAGCTCAAATTATGTAATTTATAAAAAATAATCAATAAGCCTCGCCTGTAATTATGGTAATTAAAAATATCGGAACACAATCCATAGAAGAAAACGCTTTGGTGTAAGTACATGAAGGCACAGCTACTGGAACATTCCACGAATACGGTACGCGTTTTATATTGTATATTTTTATACGTATAATATTAGGGGCAAAAATGTTATGTTTTTGTTGTGAGGTCTTATCGTCTAGATAAACTATTATCTAAATTATCCTATGAAAAATAGCTAGATTTAAACACCAAATGTTTCTATCCCCCATAAATAATAATGTGGCCTGATGGTCTTGACTTTCTCAAAATCCATCCAATAATGAAATCAAACGCCGTAATTTTGACAATTCTGTTTAAGTGCTATTTCATTGATTCATTTCAGATACTTTTAAACATTAATTTCACTGAGCAGTTTTTATTTAAAAGAAGAAAAATATACTCCATTTTAAGAGCTTCAGGCCCTATGTGTTATCAAATGCAGACTCGAAAGACTTGAACTGTCTGATACTCTCTGCCTCTTTCAACCCTTATGGGTTTTTTTTAACTGTAAACTGAGAAGGTTATAACAGGGTTACCTTGAAATAAAACATAGGCCTATTAATATACCCTTTTGGGAAACTGTCAAACACACTGTTCAGATTCCTAATATTGTTCTGAAATGGGACGTTGGAAAGAAACTAACAATAGTCAATATAAAGTATGGTGCTGTAACTGGGTAGTTTATATAGCATGTCAGACAGTGGCATCTGTGAATGACAAAACTAGATTGAATCTAAAACTACTTTAGGTATTTCATTAGACATTCTTTTTTTTTCAACTCTGTGGGTTAGAAGTAGTACATTCTTCCTCAAATGCACCAACATTCTTTTGTACAGCATTTGATGGTAAAACAAACAGTATTTGTTATAGACAATATTCATTATTATTTATGTTTGTCTTGTGAAATATTAAAATTTTAAGATGTAATTTATTCCTGTGATGGCAAAGCTGAATTTTCAACATCATTACTCCAATCTTCAGTGTCACATGATCCTTCAGAAATCATTCTAATATACTGATTTGCTGCTCAAGTAACATTTCTGAGTATTATCAATGTTGAAAACAGTTATGCTTCTTAATATTTTTGTGGAAACCATGACACATTTTCCCCCAGGATTCTGTGATTAATAGAAAGTTCAAAATAACAGTATTTATTTTAAATAGAATTTCTTTCCAACAATGGAAAACTCACTACAATCATAATTGACCAATTTAATACATCACTGCTGAATAAAATTTATTTCGTAAAAAAAAAAAATAGATTACATAAGTGAAACAAGTAGAATTAGTAAATAGCAAAAGCACAGATGTAATTTATGCACATTCTGCAACTATAAAATAAAGACAAGAGACTGATTTTACAAGATTGATTTTATTAACTATAATACAGGTCACAGAAGGCCTTACTGTTTATACACCATTCCCACTGAGACTAATTACCAACTTCATTTATTTCTGTTTTTTTCCCATTCTATTTTTTTTTAATTTTTTTTATTCCTTTTTTAATACTGAGAGTGGCAGACCCCTCTCCCTGACCTGGTCTTGAATCATGCACTACATCATTGTGGCCTTTACACCATTCACAAAAAAAAAAAAGGTCTCATTTTTTAATTATTAAAATAAAACATAAAAAGAACACCTTTTCTATCACCATTGACTACAGGGCAAAGTGTCAGACCCCCTAACGTACAAATAAACAACCATTCTGAATATAGTTTTGCTCCTTTCTCCTTTAACTTAACAGACAATCTGTCACCATTGCTGAAAAAAGAAAATGAAAAAAAAAAATAATAATAAAGTGATGCAGCCAAATAGGATTGCTGAAACAATGTCACATTTTTAATACACGTTTGTCATGTCGCTTTTAGTCGTCTTCCCCTGCCCTTTTTTATGACTTTTTTTTTTTTTTTGCACAGTCTTTGGCTGCGAAGGACAGTCGGCTCTGAAAGAATACATTGAAAATACACAGAGAATGCAGCATTCATACAAAGTACCAGGGGCGTATAGGCCACACAGCTCCCGATTTCCCAAAATATACCATTACTCCTGCTCTCTGAGGGCAAAAGACGCAGTGTTTAAGCAAGAACGGTTAAAGAGTTGCAGCTCATCACAGCCAATCAGAAGTCAGAGTAGATGTGGATTGAAGTTAAAGAGGGACAGGGCAGGTGTGGTTCACTTAATGTATTACAGGGAGAGATATGCACAAAAATGAAGTGAAATCTGCTGTGGGATACATTCATTTTTCTCCATAAACGTGATTGTTTCACAGTTTCACAGCGTCTGCCTGCTTGAAAACCACGGCTCACAACAAACTGACTCTTTTGAGTTCAAATAAACACAAAAGTCACAGAAAATGATCCGTTATCTAATCTGGAGTGAGTAAACTTATGACGTATAAGTGCTGGGGAATATTGATATAAACTTGAAAGCTAAATGGCAGCTTTTGTATTTAAACCATGTGATTGTGAATGCATCCAGCATTTTCTTGAAAAACAAAAATGTAACATTAGCGTTGAGTTTCAACGTGCAATACCTGCTTTGTCCACTGGGTGGTAGTGTTGCGCCCCAAGAGCTCACAAACGGAAGTCCACTCACGAGCTACCACATTAACTTTCCCGTTTCCCATTAACCAAGTTTTCTTCTCCTAATTTTTTTTTTTTTTTTTTTTAATGTCTGGCATTTTATAAACAATGTCATCCTTCTGAGGTCAACTCTGAAGTTGAGACATTTAGTCAGTCTTGACAAAAAGCTCATATTCTCACTCGGATAACGCACCACATGCTGATTTCAAACACACTGAAGACTTTATCTTTACCGAATGCCATAACAGCTATGCCACTATCTTCACTCTCATCCTCCTCTAGGCTTCCACAGCTCACTGATTCAATGCCATCCGCATAGATACAGCCCAGCGCGTCTCCTCTAGTGCGAACTTCCTTTACCTTCCAGAACTGTGAGGTAACTCTTGATTTAGTGCATACCTCTCCTCTAAAACGCAGGAGGACCACAACCTAACCCATCCCTTAGAACTCATCACTTATTGGTTCACCAATCATGTGCGCAAAAAGTAATCCACAGATCTAACATGAGGAAACGTCTTGCAAACGTGTAATAAGAATAATAATACAGCTCCCAAATGAACAGACACCGAACAAAGCCGAAGATCCTCGTGGAGCAGGAAACCGAGGGTTGTGTGGTTGCAAGGACATTCTGCAATAAAAGAAGCATTAGTCTTCCAGCATGTTCTGGAGGCTCATGTGACGGGGGATAAAAGGGAGGAAAAGACTTCAAATCCCAGAATGCTGTGCCACACACATCCTTGCCAGCAAAACTAGATCCAGTTCGACAAGTTCTAGTTTTGTCTTTTGATTTCTGTCTCTCTTTAAAAAGCGGTTTCAGGATAAATAGGGGGTTGGAATATGGTTGTGTTGCCGCGTTGGAAAAAAGCATTTCTTTTTCGTAATTTATAACAGTGGTCGAAAGTTACAACACAAATCTGGTGAATATATAGGCCACCCTGTTGGCCCGCTTAACCTTATTTCTAGGAGGTTGCGTACAGTGGCCACCCGAATATGAGGTGGGCTTCATACATCCTATCTCCCATTGGTCGCCGACTGACGAAGACAACACTGCAATCTACGTCAGATGGACCCATTAGAGATCTGGGTTTGGGGTTACCACACTTCATGTGCAGTTGTCTAAATGTGTGTGAGGAGCATAACGGGCCAAGAACAGAGCAATTTATAGAGTAGCATGATGCAGAAAGAGGGCGATGAAGTGTGGTTGACGTAGCTCATGTACTCTTGACCTCTTTCTTTCTCGTTCCTCTACTGCTTATGATAAGTCAGGCACGGCCGTGCAATCTCCTCGGAAGTTTCTTCCATTCGATTCATCTCTTTCAGTGCTCCTCCTCGTCTACAGCTTCACAGCAGGGTTTGGGGTTACCACACTTCATGTGCAGTTGTCTAAATGTGTGTGAGGAGCATAACGGGCCAAGAACAGAGCAATTTATAGAGTAGCATGATGCAGAAAGAGGGCAATGAAGTGTGGTTGACGTAGCTCATGTACTCTTGACCTTTTTCTTTCTCGTTCCTCTACTGCTTTTGCTTGTGACAAGTCAGGCACGGCCGTGCAATCTCCTTGGAAGTTTCTTCCATTCAATTAATCTCTTTCAGTGCTCCCAAAGTTCTCCTCCTCGTCTACAGGTTCACAGCATGTGTTGTTCCGTAGGGGTGTGATGGGGGTGGAGCGAAGGCAGCAGGCTCTGGATTGGGGGTGGAGAATGGGGCGGGGATTGTTGGGTGGGGCTGAAGGGCGGGGCTACATGTTGTAATGGGGCGTAACAGGCGGAGCCTTGTATGGAGGAGGCAGAAGACAAGGTGGTGGTAGGTGAGGCGGGCTGTCCGGGCAAGCCACTGGGTGTGTCGGCCAAGGGCTGATTGTAGAAGAAGAAAGCACACTGGTGGATAAAGGTCTCTATGATTGTCTGGTAGGTGCGTGTGGCTGTCAGTGCGTCCATGGTGGTGAAATCGGGCCGCATTAGTGTCGGCCAGAAACAGATGGACAAGTTCTCGCTGGTCATTAGGTTCAGGCGGTTGTTTTGACTCACCCTGAGAGAAAGAGAGAAAAAGTGAGAATGAAAAACATTCGTGCGAGCGAGTTTGATCGTGTCTTGCCCTAGGGATGGCTCTGATTCTCACTTGTTCAGGTGAGTGATGACGTATTTGAAGACCTCGTAGTTTTCTCGAGGGAACCTGCGGAGCACGTCCTTCATGGTGTGGAGGCGCTGCTCTCGATCACTGATTTCTGCAGGGGGCAGAGAGGGAACACGGAATGAGACACAAACACATTTATTTTCTTCATGCTTCACAGGTGTTCACTTGTCCCACAACACACAAATAGATAGAGGACGACAAGACACACACACACTGGAGTCAGTCTTGACAATGGCTTCAATGCTTGAGGACCTTCAAGACCAGTGTGTTTCTGTAATGCCATGGTGTCCTATTAGCTTCTTTAAAGTAACAAAGGCACAGGCCCCAAGCTATTTAAAATATACAGATATATTTTAAATGATTAACAAATGTATGTACCATAAACACAATATTAAGCTGTCCCACACAAACAACATGTTCAACCCTGTTACCATAATGACCCACTCCTTAAGTTTCATTAAATTGAAACATTTTGGAAGCAAAAATTTAGACCGTTTTTACTGGGAATACAAGTACATAATTACATTTTTTTTTGGTTTCTACACAGATTGTAGATTTGACTGCATTCGTCAAGCTTAACTTTCAACCCTGTCACCCAAGTCCTGACAACAGGGTTGAATGTTGCAAATAATATAAGGGAAATAAAAATGTATCAAAAATGTAAATGCTTCAAATCTACATTTGGTTGCAAACTAGCTTGTCCATACCAAGTGACATCTTAATTCAAGTTTAATCTGCAACTGTTACGTATTCTGTTATATTTACCAGTATATTTTAATAGAACCTTTAAACAAAGACTTCATTCATTTCATCTGACTGGAGTGTCTATACCACCTTTTTAACTGCTGCTAAATCATTACATGAAACAGTATTTTAGTTTTAAACTGTCACACATTTTTGTAATAGTGTTATAGGGTGGAAAACTTAAATATAAATGTAAATTAAAACAGCACAGTTTTTTTATTCTTAATTTTCAAAGAGATGTATGCACTCTTTTGTATAGAGTACTAGAAGTGACACTTAAAAATATAATGAAAGAATGAGTTGTCAATTTCAAACATTAAAAAAAGGAAACAAATCAGATTTTAAATTGACAATAGAAAAGAAACTCTTTAATTCAATGTGTTTACAGTTCAATAAAATAAATACACATTTATATATAATTTAAATTCAAAAAGACCAATTTAAAACTGTTCAATTCCATTTTTTTAAAATAGTTAAATAAAACAACAAAATAGTAAACAGACTCCTAATCCTCCATAATTCTGCACCAGATTTGTGAAAAATGCTGAATACTAATTGAGACTTTGGTTGAATGTGTGTGCAGAAACTGAATCACTCTATTTACTCCAGATGAAATGTAAGTGGGGACTCTTTCCATGTTCCAAACACTATCCATGTTTGGCTTTGGGACCTCAGATTGCTTGGAAGCCATGCTTGAGGAAGTAATTCAGGAATAAGGAGTTCTAATATGCACAAAGGAAGCAGCACACAAGGCGTGTGTGTGTGTGTTTGCATGCATGTGTGTGTGCATACTAGACTTCCCATCAGTCTCATCTGGGGTGACCGATGGATTGTTCAATGAAGCACAGTGTCTCACACACACAAACAGTACATGTACAGAAATAATTGTGTAGTGTGTGCAGTCACACAAACACAGACACACACATGCCCTGGGTGCAGCGAGCTTGATGGTTGCGGTGAGTCAGAACGGCTTACATCAGCCCTTAATGCTGTGAGCCTTGTGTCAGAACATGTGACCACTACGGCAGATGTGTTCCTCCCTAGTCACACACACACTCACATCAGCATTATGCATTGGTCCCAGATGCAGAATTACTGCAGTAACTCGAAGGAAAATGTGCAGAACCACTATAATGCCAGGCTGTTGCTATATGGTTGCTAGCTAGGGTGATTTTTAGTGCATTTATTTTGTTTCTGGAGTGTTCTGGGTCATTGCTACTGACTCACCATCAAGTTACAGAACAACATTCAACACTCTGAAGCCCTATTCGCACAGGATTAGTATTACCTGGTGACCTCTAGTCATGTGTAATAATTGCAGAGGTTGTCTGTGATCTTAATCCCGTGCGAATCGCCCATGTCTGTAACTTGTAAAGTAAAAATTTCCCCGCAAAGGACCTACCATATTTCACCAAACACCGAGGTTCTGTGATGATATTAGTCCCCTGCAAATCGGTATCTCTGTGATTGGCCATGATTTGTTGAGGTCATATATCATTTTTTCAAGGCTTTTGTTTCCTGTGCACCTTTTTATCCATCTTTCGCGAAGAATGGAGGCTGCGTTTGAGTGTTTTGATAGTATTTTGGGTGCTGGGTCATAGCGCTATACACCATAAAACTATACAATTTGCAGAAAGAGAAAGCTGAAAACCATCAGAAGAGTGAAAACAAAAAGACTGATTAGATGGAGATGGACGAAATGTATAGCAGCATGCAGTAAGGAACACTCTTCAGTTTATGATATATAACGTATATCCTGGAGATAAGTCAGTAAATTCGAGTAAAATCACAGGCTTCGCTTATAACGTGCGAATGTGCCACAAGAAATTCAGATGTGGGGGGTAATTTCTAAATCACATGAGCTCCCCAAATAATACTAATCCCGTGCAAATAGGGCTTAAGAAAGAAATAGCGCAAACACTAGACAAGGATGCAACTTTATAGAGCACAAATGTCAAGCAACTGTCAAACGGAGTATACTTAGCAAGTTTGCATCAAAACCGAAAGAATTCTATGGGACCAAATTATACTTCGGGTTTTATGGGTATGCTTGGGTATTCATAAGCGCATATTTTGTCATCAATACTATACAGGCATAGCCTGATTTTTCTAACCACACATATTTCTAACCACTCATCTTGCACATGTGCTTTGAATTTTTCCACATACAACGCACAAAATGTACAAACACAAACTGATTTTTTGGAACGCGCATATTAAGTGCATACAAAGACATTTTTGTTTGTTTGTTTTAAAAAGGTTCAGCTGTATGCATATCTAAGCGTTCAGGTCAAAACTTAAGTATATTTTGGGCTTAATACTTAGGATTAGGTACATGAATGAAACCATGACCTGTAGTATTAGTAATAGTAATAATGCTCTCAAAACATCAGGACGCCGATGTATTTAAAACCTACCCAGACATTGTTTATTTTGAGACCGAATATGCAAATATCATCTAATGAATAAACCACCACCTCCACCGCCAGTCAGAAAATGCATTCATTTAAATATCCTATTGAGACGTCTAATAGATGGCAGATCAACAAAGCAAAGGATTATTCAGAAGGCCTTAAAGCAGTGCAGGTGCTTCCTGTGTTTTCAGAGACTAAAGCAGAACAAGCCTGCTGGGCTCTTGCCATGGCGTCCAGTAACAGACGGACCAGAGCAAAGCCCCGCCCACCACCTGCGGAGAGTGACACGGTAGTCAGGTGACCTGCCGTCTGTCCTCTCCCTCCATTATCCCTTCCTTCTTACTCTCAATGGGCTTCTGTAATGTTCTTGCATTGGTTAAAAGTGTAGTTGTGACTTTATTAATAAGTGGTTGCTTATATTTAGGGTAAGCATGTAGTTCCAAACCTCACTTTCTTTCGTCTGAGGAACATGAAAGAAGATATTTTGAAGAATGTTGGCAACCAAATAGTTTTGGTTACCATTGACTTGCATCGTATGGACAAAACAAACATTGACATTTTTCCAAATATCTTCTGTTGTGTTTCACAGAAGAAACAAACTCAAACACGTTTGGAATGACACGAGGGTGCGTAAATAATGACAAATTTAATTTGGGTGAACTATTCCTTTAATCTTTGCCGCGTAACTTGTCCCACACGTCAAACACCACTCTGAACACATTAGAACAGCAACGCCCAAGCAACCACCTAAAACACCCATAGCATTATTATGTCAAAATTTGCACAGGCAAGATCCCCTCACATTATCAGCAGAAAACATACAAATGTATTTTTGATTTTAAGAACACAAGGCAAATTTTTACGGCGCAAATTAGTATCTGATTATGTTGGTATTTCATAGATTAAATTCACTAAAAAATATGCAACTGACTCAAATGATCATTGTCTATGGCCATTTGAACAGTACTAAGATTTTATTCTGGTATACCGAATTTATATACCAACATTTGAACACTTCCAAAATGAGTGACATCATGTTCATACTGAACAATTTAACCAATCAAATCCCCTCTTTTGTGCTTTACTCCACCAGTGCAGATTTGGGTGTTACGCTTTGTTTTCTGCTGAATCAGGCCTGCTGTTTGGGAAACTATTTAAAGCATGGCAGGACTTGAGGGCTTGTTTATTGAGAAACAGTCTGGAGTGAAGGACTAACGGCAATCTTAGGCTTAAGTCTCATTGCTTGTGTGTTGCTGGCTTGGAGCGATGCCCAGAGCAGACAATGCTGAACTTCACACTGAGAGAGAGAGTGTGTGTATTGAAGAACGGGGAGAGAAGTCTATAATACCGCAACAGGAAAACGCACTGCAGAAACTCAATCCATTTCTACTCGCTGTCTTATCCCTTGTTTTTCTTTTTCTCCCAGCTCCACACACAGGATGTCCAGCAGAGGAGCTCTCCAGAGCACACTAACCTCAGAGCACTACAACCAAGCACGCTGCTTTCTGACAGTAAACATCTGGCCGTGGAAAATCTTCCCTGTATCAGTGTTTTTATTGATTGTGAGAGTCTGCTCACTGTCGTGTTGATACTCACTGAAGGCCTCCACCAGCTCCGTCTGCATGCTGTATGGTACCAGAGGATCGGGCAGCTCTGAGAAGAAGCTCTTCATCGCTCCTGCCACCGTGTTCACAGACATGTCCTTCTCGATCAGGTCAATGTTAGGGTCTATAATGTACAGAAAGAGAGAGGGAATTCGGTTAGACTTTTAAACGGAAGTTTAGTCATTGCAGCTTCTCAAACTATTTGCAATTTAAAGTTGTTAAATTACAGTCTAAAAAGTAAAAAAAAAAAAAAAAGGAAGTGCACCATAATCATTTTAGGGTGCGACTGGTTTAATTTTTCTTAAAACCAACATATTTCAGTATGATCACATTATAGTGATTTTACACACTTTACCAGGCATGTGAAAAGTATTTTTGTTACCTTTCACATACATTTTAATGTTTAAATTGATCTTTATCCTTGGTCTCAGACCTTCAATCTAAAACTATGAAAATAATTTATATTTGTAAAATGGATTAAGTTTAATAATCTAAACAAAAACCCGAAGTAAATGAGCCATTTCAAAATTTACTGTGAATTCAAAAGTGTAGGTTTTACATTCTTAATGTTTTTGAAAGAAGTGTTTACTATTTTATTATATTTTAAAATGTTATTTATTTCTGTGGTGGCAAAGCTGAATTTTCAGCATCATTACTCCAGTCTTCAGTGTCACATGATCCTTCATAAATCATTCTAATATGCTGATTTGCTGCTTGAAAACAGCTAAACTATATTTTTTGGAAACGTTGGAGAATAGAAACAGATTAGAAAGTTCAAAGAACAGCATTTATTTGAAATATATATTTTTTTATAATAGTATAAAATGTCTTAACAAAGCAATTTAATGTGTTCTTGTTAAATAAAAGTATTAAAGACAAGTTTTTAACATGGTTTCCACGTCTATCTGGTGTTTTTAATACACTTAAAGGGATAGTTCACCAAAAATGAAAATTACCCCATGATTTACTCACCTTCAAGCCATCCTAGGTGTATATGACATTCTTCTTTCAGACGAATACAATCGGAGTTATATTAAAAAACATCCTGTAAATATCCATATTTACAACTTTATAAACCTTAATCTCTAACTTCCGCTAACTGTCGTACGCGCGTTCATGAGAGAGTGGCGTCCAGCGGATGACGTAGCACGTAGGCAAACGCAGAAGTGACGAGCGTGGAAGCGCAGAGGAGAGAGCAAAACAAAACACCGTTCACGAATTAGTAGTACAAAACGAGGATTTGTAAAGAAAAATGTCGGAGGATTTTAATATAAGCCAAGAGGACAGTGGTTTTCCTTTGCTATAAAAAAACCTTGTTTCTCGCGAGACTAGCATTTTCTCACCAGAGTTTACGCTACGCCTACGTCATCCGCTGGACGACACTCTCTCGTGAACGCACATATGACAGTTAGCGAAAGTTAGAGATTAAGGTTTATAAAGTTGTAAATATGGATATTTTTCTTACACAAACGCATTGCTTCGCTTCAGGAGGCCTTTATTAACTCCCCGGAGCTGTGTGGACTTTTATAATGGATTGGTTCAATTTTTTGGACTTCGAATTTTGGGCTACCATCCACTCCCATTATAAAGCTTGGAAGAGCCAGGATGTTTTTTAATATAACTCCGATTGTATTCGTCTGACAGAAGAAAGTCTTATACATCTAGGATGGCTTGAGGGTAAGTAAATCATGGGGTAATTTTCATTTTTGGTGAACTAACCCTTTAACTAATACAATTGACAAACTATGTGCAAATGAATCATTCAACACCATTGCAGAGCATTTTATTCCTTAAAATTGCAGTTTATCAAAGTTTAAAAAATTAGGTTTAAAACAAGCCATTTCTTATGATATAAAGCGTTAGCCTACGCTTTGTATCATTAGCAAAACGTTTTTATCTGAGGATGTTGATTTTTATAAGGTAGCTGTCTGAGATGGCGAACAGGAACATGGTTTGTGTAACATTAGCAACACATTGATAACTGTTTGATAACACAGGCAAGCCAAAGGCTAATGATATCAATTTCTGTTACATGTCTGGCATTGTAGAGAGAGCGATACATAAAATGCATTACCATTCTGATACATCAACTTGTGGATGACCCTGTATAAGCCCTGTTCTTCAGAATTAGTTTCTGGTTCAAACATATATGGCTGAATTAATCCAACAATGCTACTTGCCAATGTGTAGCATTTACTACTTCAGTTAACCAAATGAAAGAAGAGCAGGTAGTTCAAGCTGCTGTGATTAAGTGGAGGCGGGGACTAATTTGCATATTAATAGCCTTTGTATACTAAATGAGGTAAAGGTGCAATTCTGATTATCAAATATGAGTTTTAAGGGATAAAATCAGTGACTGCAGGGGGACTTTTATGTTCTTAAAAAAATAAATAAATATAATAAATAAAATTATATACTACATTTATGGAAAATGTTTTATATTATAAAACATTTTCCATAAATGTAGTGTGCTTGACTACCAAGCACAATAACTGTGTCGGTGCAGAGCTTGAGATGAATATCAGAAATCAAAATAAATATAATTTATGTTCAGAATACGATGTGCATGACTTTCAATTAAGCTGTATTATTAAGCAAAAATTGTGAATGCATTAAATTTATTTAGGACACATTAAATATAACATGTTAAATTGGCCTTTGGAAGACAAAGGAGTCATTTTATTCCAAAAATGATAAAAATGGCATTTCCATCAAAATGCTATTGAAAATTCATTTAAAACGCTATTGAACAATACATTAATTTGTATTTTATCACTATCGGAAAACAAATTAAACGAGTTTGGAAAGCTTTTAATTATAAAAAAAAAAAAACTGCACAGGGCCAAAAGGGCCAATAACTGAAGAGACACTGTGACCTGCACCACACTTTGACCCTGAAATACATTTTGCACCAAGGAACTGGCACTGAGATGAATGAGAAGGCAAATGGACACATTTTTCTAGGAGGTACTTGATCTGACTTAACAGTAAACAATCCGTTTCTTCAAATCAGAGACACAGGATCATATGAACATCCCTGACAGCCAGCTTCTTCCAAATGCAGCTTATTTGTTCAAACAAGGGGTCCTTCTGAAAGCACAAGCCCCTTATAATCAAACCTGTCCACTCTTGCTGTCTGGATGCATCTCTAATCTCTCGGCTGATCCAGCGAAATGTGTATCTAATTGGAGAATGTGTGCTTAGCATGCAGGCGTGAAATGAGTGCACAGGAGAGGGTGAGAGGTTACGAGCCGCAAACAAAACAAGCGTCGATTAAAACCACAAAACAATTTTGATCTCCGCTTCAGCCAATATGATTGAGCTAAAGCTACAAACACAGAAAAGCACTCCACATTCGTATTACAATTGCAATCTTTCAGACCAGCATGTTAAATCCAGTTGACCCCAGATCAGTTACTCTAGCCGTCCGGATTGTATTTCATAGGAGATCGATAACGGCTGTGTAGCACCTGATCGTGAATCATCTGACATTTCGCTAGAGTTGGCCGGGATGCTGCTGAGCACATACCTGAGCAGTAATTTCCGCCGTAATTGTATTGTCACCTGGCTGTGCGGGGTTCTGATCGATCAGACACGAGCCTTCGCCTTCTATTAGCTCATGCCGATCCGAACCGGGCCCGGCCAGATCAGTGGAGCGTGTGCGCTCGCGGTTCATTACCCAAACCAATCTGCTGGTAATTAACTGACCTTCTCTTCCGGCGCAAACACACAAACAGGACGGCCTGTGGTGATGCACACACACAGACACGCTTCCACAGCGCACAATAGTTTCTTTAGAGAGCTTAATGAAATTAAAATGAGAGATTTGGGGCTTTTAGTCCATGTCTATTAACTAATAAAGCACATTAATATTTACACAAATATTTATATATATTATAAAAAATAAATTAAATATTTATATAAATAATATATATTAATAATTATTTTAAAAATTGCATAATATTTGTATTTAAATGCATTTTTTATTTATAAATATTTTATTCTGTTCTGGATGAAAAAAAAGGTTAAAATGTGATAAATTGGTCAAATTTGAAATAAGCTGTCACTGAAATGTTTTGCTACAGTAAATATGTTTTTGAAAGAAGTCTCTTATGCTCACCAAGGCTGCATTTATTTACTAAAAAATACAGTTAAATGTTAGTGCATAAATATAGAAATATTATTGCAATTTCAAAAAAAAAAATTGTTTTAATATATTTAAAAATGGAATTAATTCCTGTGATGGCAAATCTGAATTTTCAGCAGTCACACTTATTATTATTATTATTATTATTAATGTAGAAAACAGATGTGCTGCTTAATATTTTTGCAGAAACTGTGATATATATATATATATATATTCAGGATTCTTTGATGAATAGAAAGTTTGAAAGAACAGCATTTATTTTGAAGGGGTCATATGATGCGATTTAAATTTGTCCTTTCTCTTTGGAGTGTTACAAGCTCTTGGTGCATAAAGAAGATCTGTAAAGTTGCAAAGACTAAAGTCTCAAATCCAAAGAGATATTCTTTATAAAAGTTAAGAGTCAACCACTCCTACCTAAAACGGCTCGTTCTAACACGCCCCCACATGTCTACATCACGATGTGGGAAGATTTGCATAATGTTCACGCAAAGAAAGAAGTCGTAACTTTTATTCTCGCTGTAGTATTGTTGCTGCCACCATGTCATGAAGACGCTGTGTTTCGTTGTGAAAGCGAAACTACTTTGTTTGGCCTTCCAAAAGGGGACGATATCCGCTTCGTCATGCCTGGAGCTGCTCCGTGCTGGTCGCTCAGCAAATACATCAACTTCGCGCTGTGGATCGCCGGATCGGCTTTCGTTGGCCTTCTGGAAAGTAATTTTTTTATTCATCAATAATCCTAAAAAAAATACTCAACTGTATTAAATATTGATGATAATAATAATAATAATAATAATAAAACATGTGACACTGAAGACTGAAGTAATGATGCTGAAAATGTAGCTTTGATCATAGGAATAAATTACATTTTCAAATATATTCAAATAGAAAGCAGATATTTTAAATAGTACAAAATATTTCACAATATTACTGCTTTTGCTGTATTTTGGATCAAACAAATCCAGGCTTGGTGAGCAGAAGAGAATTCTTTAAAAAAAATTAAAAATCTTACTGTTCAAAAACTTTTGACTGGTAGTGTATGTAAAAAAGTTATAAAGTTATATGTGTATGTATGTGTTATATGTATGTATAAAGTTATACATACTTATACATACATATACACACAAATACAAATAAACATATACTAGTCTGAACTATATATACACGTCTTACCACCTTTAAAAATAAGCAAACGAAAATAGTCTCTTCTCAAGTATGCACATAATACAAGCATATTCTATGCGCTCTGACATTATGCTTTCATAATGGCCCTCGGTGGGCCGGATCAATAGCTGTGGATCAGTCCCGGTTAATTGAGCTTATCTGCTCTACAGTGTGCTCATTGACAGATATGTGATCCATGCACCGAGGAATAGCAGCCATTTCTTTGAAAGCAGCGAGGTCAGCCGGGTCTGCTGTGACTGGCCCACTCAAACTTTTCCCCAAGGCAAATATGAGTAACAGAGTTCTGTATGTACTATGATATCCATGAGATGTCTTTAGATTATGCTCCTACAACAGCAGGGTAATGTGAGAGCATGGAAGTTCATGGAGGCCAGACAAGCAGAGAGAGAGAAGCCAGGTGGTGGGAGTCATTGCTCTTGTTATACTTTAGTGATGTTCTTAGCTTTACAAGCTTTTTAAGGCGTACTTTTGAAACAGCACCATGGTATTATAATGTTTTCTTCAGAGTATAGTGTAAATTGTACATGGGTCAAAGATGTCCAATTTTGGTCTCTGCATCAAATTAAATGTACAGTTTTGTTGCAAACAAGAGTCTTACCTAAAATGCAACAAAAGATATTGCTGGACAACCGTTATTAGGTGAAATTGCATACTGTCTAGGAGGTACTACATTTGATGAGGAAGATACTTTGCAACTGTTAAAAAGTATGTTCTATATTGTATGAATGTGTGTGGTATTGAAATCTGGATGTACTACATTTGCTGTTGTCATTGTCAAATAACCTACCAGCGTCAGTTGTGTCATTTTACTATTAGGCTACGTTTACATGACAACGATGTAGTCAAAAACGGATAAGTTTTTCCCTTGCGTTTTTAAAAAGTTTCACATATACATGACAACGTTTTCAAAACGATTCGCGTTTACACATATCCGCGAAAACAGCCAAAAACGCTGTATTACGTATGCCAGGCCAGTAGTTGGCGCTGTCACCTTGTTAGTAAACAGTACCTGTTGCCGTGTGTATATGATGCGTCTCCGCTGTTGGTTGTAATATTGGTGAAGTAAATCCACACTTTGCTGAAGAAGCGTTAGCAAACTCTTAAACAGCAACAACAGTACCATGTACTCCACCATTGTTGTGTATGTTTCGTCACTGTTTTCAAAGATTCCCGTATTGGGTGTTTACATGGAAACGTCAACGGTGGCGTTTTCAAAAACTTGCACTTTGAAACCCGTTTTCAAAAATATGCGTTTTCAGTCCCAAAAACGGCGTTGTCGTGTAAACGAACAGGCAAAACACATAAAAAAAAGTTTCCCGCTTTTGGCTGAAAATGTTGTCGTGTAAACGGCCCCTTAGTCACAACCCTTCTCCCATGGCCTCATGATAGTAAAGTCCCATCAGATGCACACTTTGGAATATCAGCAGAAGTAGTAGGTCATCTGGTACTTTGCACCTACTGTTTTATGAATACTATGAATGTGGACATACTATATACTATATAGTAGGGAAGTATGCTTATTAGTATGCATGGATTGTCTTTTGTAGTAAACTTTTAAGCTTAATAATGTCATAAGGTTTTATGACAAAGGTATATAACACCACAAATTTGACAAGAATAAAACAAAACTCCCTTACTTATCAGATTTCTGAATTCTAATCAAATAGTCTAAAAGTTACTACTTTCAGTGGTGATGGCAAAAGTACATACTTGAGTGAGACAGTATGCTTGTACTTAGACAATACCATTACATTTTCATCTTGATATTGCAAACTTCAGCGTCTAGCATTTCCTTTTAGATTCATTTATTTATTTATTTGCCTTTAAAAGATTATTATAATAATATATAAAATAATATAAAGTGGACAGGAAGAAAAGTGAGAGAGACGGGGGGACAGCAGTCAGGATTTGATTTGACTTTGACTATTCATACTGTCATGATATCAGATTTTCACTACATGACTTAAACACAAGTGTAGGGGAAGTGGAAAGAGAGTTTATAACCATAACTATACAGAAAGAACTTTTGAAAAGAACTGTCGATCGGCACAGCTAACACCCCATATTTTTTACAGGATCCAAAAAACTCCTACACTTTTTCGGCTGAAGGTAGTGTCTCGTTTTCGTCTGTCATCTCGTCTGACATGATTTAGTGCAGCAGAACTAGCTACACACTAGTCATCGTCTTCATTTTTCCATTTTCTGATGGATGTCAAACAGTGTTAAGGTGCAACACCGCCACCTTCTATGTCGGAGGGTCAACCAGATTACAACCACAATCAACCATAGTGTCAACAGTTACTACCACTGGATTATGTGTAGCATTAACATCAGTATTTCATTTTTCATTCAATATCATGATTATAATTACATTATGCCACACATAATTCATACTCATTTCAAAACTGCCATGGTAGCTTCGGCATCAGAGCTTCAAACGGATTCGAACTGATTCATTAAACAAATCTGCACATTTGTTCACAAAGTCTGTGCATCTAACAAAGACAATGGGATAATTTTGTGGTCTATGGACTTCTCATTACATTCAATTCACACTGCAAGATGCAGCACAGGTAAAATGTGATTTTGTTTACTGAGGCCGATTAGCATTTAAATGCATTATTTGTGTCTGCCTGACTTGAAACATTCCCAACACTGAATCGTTTAAATTTACCCTTACTAATTTCATTCCTTGCTATTTCAACTACTCCACTGTTTCATTTTAAATCGAACATTACTGCATGTTACTTAGCTGCATTACATTTTGTTCCATTTACATGTATCTGCCATGCCAATAAAGCACACTAAACAGAAACTGAAAAGACAGATCAAAAGAAAAAGAAAGTGAAAGGCAAACAGGTCACGTGACTCACCCTGGTCAAACTGCCGCTGCATGCTTTCCATCTCGGCCTTATTTCCACTCACCCTGTAGATCCCCTCTGTGCTCAACCCTGTGAGAAAGAGAGAGAGAGAGAGAGTTGATATTAATTAATGAGTTTTGCACTCCATTCCTTTTACACAGTCTCAGAGTTTGATAAGAGCCAACAAAATGGTGTTATCTTCAGCTCAGAATGTACAACGCATTACACATATTTAATTTATATCTGAGGTTGCTAATTGTGCGAACACACTCCGCCTGTCAGATCTTCACTGTTTGACTTATCAGTCGTACATGAAGAATGAGGGCTGCCACAGGCAGAGAGCAGCTTGCGTCTTGTGCCCCGCAGATGCAAGAGCCAGAGAACGGCTCGGTTCGGCTTGGCCCATCTCACCCAAGCAGAGAGAAAACAAGTACATCGATAAAGAGAAAGACAGAGCGAGAGGCAGAGAGACACTCTCGGAAATGAGTCGGTGTGTTGCTGAGGCAGACCGCATTGATTGCCTCACCTCTCCTGATCAATTACCCATAAAAGCTTTTCTGTGGAGCTGCAGGAAGGGAAATGTGTGTAGAGAGGAAGGGTGTGTTTATGGCGGAGTGTAAGAACAAGAGGGAAAAAAAGAAATGAAAATAGGCGAGAAAAGGACTGTAAAACGTCTGAAAGATCAAGTTTCATATTGCGTTATAGATTTGCACTGATCATAAAACTCTACTTTTGATGTCTGAGAAATCCACAGGGTCTACCAATCATTTCAAAGTTTCTTTTAAAAATAGGCTCAAATATGATATGAATATGAACAGCCTATTCAAAGAAATGTTGTTTTGTGGTAATAAAATGAACATCGTTAAAAATAAACCACAACAACACAATGCCATTGTATTTTAATGCCAGACCTCAAGAGCGCTATTTTTGTTTGCTATTAGTCTTCTGTTATTAAATTATTTATTTAGAAATGGCAAAAATACTAATAATGAAAATGTAATATGATAAAAAAAAATACAGATTTGTAATGTTTAAATGTGCTAGAAAAAATGTCACAATTCTCAAAATGAATCAATATACAGTTAAACACATAAGTACGTAACTAAACAAACAAACAAACAAACAACTAAAAAAGTTAATTAAAATAAAAAATATTATATTACATTATATTAAATTATTTAATTACTAACTACATAAGTGAATTAAACAAAAGTGAACTAAATAAGTAAATAACTAACTATTAGGGGCGGAACAGTTCAACTTACTCAAGGTTCGGTTTGTATCACGGTTTTAGAGTCACGGTTTCGGTATGGTTTGGTATGTGCTATGTTTAGGGAAAAACTATACTGTCAAATAAAAATAAAGAAAATAAGAATAATCTATCTAACTACAAGCAACAGCACAAATAAATACAATAGTTTAAAGATACAAATAAAATAAACAGTGATTTTCAGTTTTTTTTTAGGTAGGTCTAACATTAGTTTTTAGGTACAGAAATTGAATAAAGTAATGAAATGTAAAACAGCATTGCATATTTGACTGTATAAATTAAAGATTAATCTTTATTAAAGTTACAAAAGCTATTCAATCAAGAGCAGTGAGTGAATTCTTTGTTGTTGCTGTTTGATTAATATTAAGTGCTGCCACTTTAAGAGAATGCACTGATCCAGTGCACTGATACAGTACGTTCAGCCGGCTATGTCTACTATAGGATACTTACCAAGATGGGCATTTAGACATAATTTTTGTGTGAATTCGACCATTTAAACACAATACTTCAGAGAGAGCTTAATATTTGCGCGCGTTCTGAGGTGCGGGTTTGCGCGCTTGTGAGCGCACACACAAATCTTCTCACTGCACGCGCGAGCCCGCGTCCTCTGGCTCTTAAATGTTTAAACTGGCAAAGCTTAAATGAGTTTAGCTTAAACACAGATATCAACGTGTGCTGTTCAGGTCTCACCTGTGTGCGCGCACTATCAGCACCGTGGTGATGACGGAATAAATGACTGCTCATATTCCAGCATACGCCATTCGCAATGAACAAGAGTTGTTGTAATGTATTGGGAAGCCAGAATGCGCATCCATCAACAGAAACATACATTAGCCGAACCCTGT